TACCATTAACAATCAGGACTGGATGGGCAGGCAAACTCGTGAAATGCTGTCTAACTAGGCAGTCCCCTAGGAATTGATTCACAGTCTTTCTCCTTCTTCCTCTCTTCTTGCCTCCTTTCTTATGAAACCAGCAATTGTTGCCTCTCCCTGTCTTTCAGCTCCAACCAATCTAAAATACTAATCAGCTGATATTTTTTTTCTTTTTCATTAAATGGAGGCCATGAAGAAAACCTGTCAGACCTTGTCCTTCACACTCCTTTCACGGTGCTTACACCATCGATTACAATAATATAGGCTAATATTTAATGTAAAAAAAAAAAAAGTCATATCACACAAATAGAGTAGAGTTTTGGGCCTTTCTGCAGGGGCTTCTTGAAGACATTTGTTTGAGGTTTTCAATTATTTGCAGGTCTGGTGAACTTTGGAGAATTGGGAAATATTGCCATCTGCTGAGTGTTTTAACAATGACATTTCCCATCCGATCCAACACAGTCTGTGCAACTCTCAAGCCCCATTCACACCAACAGTGAATAAATGCTGGAGTTACAGACGACTGTCTGTGATGTCCACAGCCATCTTGAGGTCTTTTCTCAATTGGGCGAATTACTCACTGACTAAGGGAATGTAATTTCTTTTGTTTTACGGTTGTACGATGAGCTGGTTTTTAAGTCTTTAATATTACTATTGCTTATAATCTTAATTGTTTAGTGATTTATCCATGAACTGTGGGCTATTGAATAGCAGAAAATGTAATTCTAATAGATGTCCTGCTAATTATAATAAAGAACAGGAATAAAACGAAGAGCTAAAATAAAATAATTATAATTTTTTTTGTAGAATGATATCTTTAGACATTATAATTATATAATTATATAAGACATTATATAATACATTATTTTTATATAAGACATTATAATTATATATAATATTATAATTATGTATAATATATAATATGTAAAATATATAATTAATTATATAAGACATTATGATATTTGAAATTAGTTAGTTAGGCTACTTTAAAAATGTAGAGTACTGTTTTTAACTATACTTGGCATGGGTTCAATTAGAACAAAAGTATTCATTGTCTTTATGAACTAACTGTAGAAAATATGAAATACTTATTATTGACCATAATTTGTTTAGTAGACAAATTAAATAAAAATCACACGAATAAATTGCATGCTTTTACTTTAGTTTTTGTGTGGTAATGTAAAAAACAAAAAGTGTTCCAACTGTACACGGTTTACTATCACCAACTGTGCTTAGACGGTGTCTTTGCTTAATATGTAAACAAAACTGAAAGAAATGCTGTTTTCTCTCACAAAATAAACAACTTTGTGGTGTGGATCAACTGACGTTTTTATGGAGCTCATCTAGAGAGTCACTTTCATTCCAGTAATGTCTGTTTCACTGAATCCTCATAGCACATACAGAGCATCACATAATGTGTAGAGTTTTTAAGACCTGTAGGTGGAGACAAACAACCATTTGTTTCAGAATCAAAACGAGATATTACTAAGCATGCTTGCACACACAATAAGTTTGTCTAGGTGTCAGAACTGGTCTAATTCAGTGTGGCAAATGTGGTGGCTACCTTTCCAGTAGACAGAAGAAATAATAAGTTAAAATAAAAGATTAAATAAATGATATATATTAAATACAATTTAGGCAAGTAACGTACACATTCACGTTCAATCCCTGCAACCTCCCCCCTCCCAAACTGAACGTGATTTTGCCATCGCTAACTAATTTTGGTATCCAATATGATAACTGGAAACCATTCACCGAATGAATGAGAATGCAACACGATTAGGTTATGCCTTATTAGCATTGTTATGTCTGTTTAATAATCTGAATTTATTACTTTTGGAAGGACATGAATTCTGATTACTAAGTCAACACACATTTTGGTTAGATTTGGTTAGACACATTTTCTTAGAGTTTTATGAACTGAGAGTTTTCCACATTTTTTCCATTATTGTAGTTTCAAGTCTTTTAGAAAATGCACATAAAACATAGTCTCTCTACATAGTCTCAGACTATTCCTGTCCAAGTGGACTGTTGTTGGCCATTATCCTGTAGGCTTTATCCAAAATATGAACAAGATTGTATGATGTCAATCAATCAACAACAACAACAAAAAGTCTGGTTACAATGGACCACTTCTGTATTCACCGATGTATGTGTGTGTGTGTGTGTGTGTGTGTGTGTGTGTGTGTGCTTGTGTGAAAGTGGAAATTATATGTAAAATTATGTTTTGACAAAGGGATGTTTATCTGATACTTGTTAAAAGATTCAGTCCCAGAGTCCAATGAAGTGAATAAATGGTTGTGTCTCTTTATTGTCAGCCGTATTAAAATTACAGCAACAAATCCATCCTGAGCTGGATTAATGTCACACTTTGACATTGTACAGAGTCTCACCTTCAAAATCCCCATGGGCTTTATTTCATACAATACTCACATTTTTAGTTGTTCCACTGAAAGCCTTTCAAAGTAGTGACATACCTGTACTCTCTTAAAAATTAAGGTTCTTTATTGGCATCTTTGGTTCCATGAAGAATCTTTAACATCCATGGAACTTTTCCATTCCATAAAAGTTTCTTTAGAACGGAAGAAGGTTCTTAAGATTATTAAAATGTTCAAGAAAAAAAACGATTCACTCAAGGGTTCTTTCTGGACCTTCATAAGCTTATAAATTATGAAGTTATGTAGTTATGCTGTCAACACGGTCTGATGGTAAAGGATGGAAACTGAGTAGGAGAGAGAAACGTCAGTCATAGACAAACGACCATGTTCACCATATATAACTTTCCCATCACGTCCCCACACATCTCAGGTGTTTTTTTTTTTTTGTAAGCTCTGAACTTCCTCTGGTGAGGCAAAGGATCCACCCACAAGACTGACCAGTCACCAACCTCACTGGCCCCAGATAGATTACCTAATCTTTGAAATGTGCCTCTGTGTCTTTTTCGGTTCCTCTCAATTAAACACATCTGAACAGCAAGGTTCCTCTTTTGATTTTCTTCTTCATTGATTTATTATCTCACCCAAGGCCTTAAAAGTTGGGAAAATCTATTGTGGCTTTGGAAAGTGTTGGTATTTCATCATTTCTCACTTTGTGGTTTATTGGTTTATTATTTTTTCTGCAGGTGTCATGAAACACTTTATCTGGCTGATGACAAATAGCAAGAGTCATTCGTACAGGGCATGTGTGGCATTAAACTTTCACAGGTAGACCACAGACTGGAGCTTATGGTATGTACAGGACATGACATGTACAACACACACACACACACTTCATTTTCTGATACTTATTTGTATATTTATGTTACTTCAAACGTTTTGGTTGTTTGCTTGATTACTCATGATTACATGACATAAATGAATTAATTCTGAAGAGGAGAAGCTGACGCGGGGTCAGGAGAGATTCTTTGTTACTAATCATTTTCCATTATTTTTCATAATTAGGCTTTCTGCATGATTCTGGGTCACATAAGGGAAACCACAACTGGGTCGTATCTACAGATGTGAAATCACATACAGGTTACATGCGCGTTTTTTGCACATATTTTTAATAAAACGGTCATAAGTGTCAAAAGTGCAAATATAGATAGCTTTGTCTAATATGTAACCATATTAGAGTGGATGTCACAAAACCTGTCAAGAATATAACTAGCTCATTTTACACCTCAAAATAACAAGAAATGGGACAAATCATTGTATTTTTTTAAGTATGTTTTTCTCTCTCAATGTAATGCAAAAAAATCTCATTACACTATTTCTCAATAATTAGAAAAAAATCATCATTGTAAAAATATGTGTAACAAAAGATTTCCATTAAATACTGTTCTTTTGAACTTATCAAAGAATGCTCAAAAAATGTATCATGGCATCTTGAAAAAATATTAAGCCACACAACCGTTTACCACTGATAAAAATAATACATGTTTCGTGAGCAGCATATTAGAATGATTTCCGAAGGATCATGTGACACTGAAGACTGGAGTAATGATGCTGAAAATTCAGCTTTGCGTCACAGGAATAAATTACATTTGAATACATATTCAAACAGAAACTAGTTGTTATAAATTGCAATAATATTTCACAATAATACTGTTCTTACTGTATGTTTGGTCAAATAAATGCATAGGAGTGAACATAGGAGGCTTCTTTCAAGAACATCAAAAAATCTTACTGACCCCCAACGGTATTGTGCATATCATTTCTCTTTATCTCTTCATTATTTATTTATTGTTATTTCAATTTTAAGGTGAAATATAACTTGGACATGTTTTTATGTTTCATCCAGTCACATTTTCTACAATGTCTTATTCATTTATCTAAGTTATCTGTTTATTCTGTTGTTACCACATGTCAGAACATGTTGAATCAGAATAACTAAACATAAAAAAATGTACATGGCACATAGAGCTTAGTACTGGTCTAATGCAGTGTGGTAAATGTGGTGGCTACCTTCCTTATGTTCTGAACATGTCAGAACAAGCTCACTTTGGCCACTAAATAAGTTAATAAGCAAGAAAAAACGAAACCTACACCTGTACACGACAGCACAGTATATGCCTTAGTTCAGGTCTCATGTAGTGCGTCACATGTGGTCTACAGAATGTGATGGTTTTGTAGCGTAAAAACTCCCAGCAGTCTATTAAAGGGACTGTGACACCTGCTTCCCTCCGGTTGACAGTGAGTAGGAGGGCTGATACTGCCCAGATGAGAGGTGTTTCATATTGCACTTCACCCATGCTTTAGGGGAAAGTACACTACAAGCACTCCACTTGGACATCTGCTGAGAAACTCTAAACAGGAACACAGACATCATACAGGAAGCTTGACACATTCTGAGGTTTGTCTACGGGGCCAACCAGAAGACGAGAGGTGGAGGCCACGCTCATTCTACATTATTAGTCGTGAACTCAACAGTGTTTTCGTCTCAGTTTGCTCACTCGTCTGTCACGCTTGCCCTGCACTGAGGCTGTCATCATGTCTCTATCCGCCGAGTACTGCAGTGATAAAACGGGTGACAGGGGTGGAGGAGGTGGAGTTGCTTTGGCCCATCAGAGGAGACTGATCCGGGGATTGCTTGTTTGGGCCACCCTGCTCACTCTAGGCTTGGCCACATCAATAACTCTCCACTTCATCCACAGAGAATTGCCAGCTACTAGTAAACAGCAGGTATGGTTGAGATCTGTAATCTACACTCTTAAAAATAAAGCTTCTTTACTGGCATTGATAATTCCATGAGGAAACTTTACCATCCATGGAACATTTCCATTGGTTCTTTATAACGAAAATAAAAGGTTGTTTAGAATGTTAATATTCTTCACACTAAGAAAAAATGGTTCACTGAAAGGTTCTTTGAGGAACCGCTGTGAAAACCCACTTTTGGAATCTTTATTGAACCATTAGTGTAGATTGCAGCTGTGTTTACTTCATGTATGCGTATGTTTAAACCTTCCATTAAAATGAAGAGACATTCAGGCAAGTTTGTTCAAACTGGTATTGTATTGTATGAACTGGTTGCATTGTTTCGGGTTCTGTTGTGTATTGCGTATCTGTATACTGGTGGGACACAGTCAGACCACAGCGGCTGCTGACTCAAGACCGCAGATGAGGGGAACGCAGATATGTGTTATCACAACGCGCTTATATTTACAGACAGGGCAGACTGAAATATAGAAGCTCAGATAAACGTATCATTAAAAATATCATTTATTTACAGATGCTATTTTGCACCCCACTGAAAATTGTGACATATACTATTTGAATTTGAGTAACTACAATCTTAAAAACAAACATTCTAAAAAGGGAGTTTAGCAGGTTTAGGGTTCCTCAAAGAACCTTTCAGTAAACAGTTCCTAAAAGGACCATTTTTTCTTAAGCGTAAAGAACATTTAAATAACCTAAAGAACCTGTTTCCACTATAAAGAACTTTGTGTGGAATGTAAAGTTTCCATAGATGTTAAAGGTTCTTCATGGAACAACGGATGCCAATAATAAAACGTTACTTTTTAAAAATATATAATAGTATATATAACATAATATCATAAAATATACTGTAATTACTTCAGTTTTGGTCATTTCTGGTGGATGCACTCTTAAAAATAAAAGTTTTTCATGGTGGTACAAAAACCCTTTGACATCCATGGAGCCTTTCCAGTTTCTTCATAGTCGGAAAGGATCTCCAGATTTTTAAAATGGTCTTCACACTAAGAGAGAAAAAAAACAAGAGTTATTTTAGGAACTGTTGACTAAGAGGTTCTTCTATGGCATCACTTGGAAGCTTTATTTTTGAGAGTGTGTATGAAGTTCTAGTGGATGTGCAGGTATCCTGACTGAGGACTGACATTTCAAAACTTAGTTAGTCATTTTTATCATTTATTTAAAAAGCATTATGATATTTCTATTCAAAAAAGATCTGTTTTCTTACAATAAGTAACCATGCAATGACCACACAATACAGTGAGTCATTTGTATACAGTAAGAAAACAGCTCATTTAGTGCCAATGTGGAAACTCAGTATCGATATTGTAGATATCACTATCAATCATCACCTCTCTTTCCAGCACAGTGGAGCGATCTGACTTTTTAGAAGATGCTTTTGTTTATCTGAACAGTGTAGAGTAATTAGCCACGATATCATGCCAGTTGGAAGGTTGAATTTTATGGTTACCACATGAACGTGTCAAAACATGTGCATGCGCAATTCAGAAAATAAGAAATGAAACTCTCTATTGATACAAATCAGCATCTGATGCAATTCCACTTTGCCATCATTTTTGAGTCACAGTTTTGTCACGTATATGTCATGAAACTACTCTACTATTCTAGTTGTGCTCAGTCAAAAAGCATACAGAAATTATATTTTGGGGTAACTTTCTGAAGATTAGGATGTGATAGTGTTCGAAAGGTTAACTGGTGGTTTCATTCAAAAGTAACACCTATAAGATATGAGAGCTTGATTCTGATGTTTGAAAACGAAATTGGTTTAGGTCTGAAACTATACTTTCTCTTGAAATGTTTTTTTCAACACACACACACACATGCGCGAAACAAGTCGATGTAGACATATTGGACTGGTGAAGACAAACCAGCAACCACAGAACAGCAAAAGAAGACTTAATGACATAATTCCACTGAGGGGAAATGCCACTCCACAACCCCTCCTCTTCCCTGATAATGTTTTTCATTCTGTTTGTCTGACATCAGAAGCACTGCATATTGCACAGTTTGTTGCATGTTTGGAAAAAAAAGAACTAAAGGGGAAATAAATTGGACTGGAATGAGCTGAACAACATACTTGTCAGTGCCCTAGTGACTCCCAGAGGAGGGGGGGGGGGATGATGGGGGTTGGTGTTAAAGAATTGTGTTATAATAACTCCTACAAATACAACTCATTATATACACTATAAACACTTTAAAGGAGACAGACATTTAGATGTCTGTGAAAGATGTTTTCTCTGTTTTGGAGGGATGATTATTTTTTAAATCATACCCTATTTATTGCATCAAAATTTGTTAATAGCCTACTTTACTATATTTAAGGGTGGATAATTTTATCAGTTGTTTATTGCAACAATACATAACTACAATAACTTTGTCTAGTGCTCTTATGAAAGTTTATAGCATGATTTGTGAAAATTTAACTATAGTGACATGGCAATGCATAGACTTCTTCATGCTAGTTTTTGCATATTTCATTTCATTCTGTAACCTACTTGTTCTACAGATCTGTGTGTACTAGTGTTAAATGCTACTGTTTTTGACAGCGTTGATAACGTTTATGACAGATAACATCATGGTAATTTTTGCGTTTCCCTTACCGAATGTCGTATCCTGTCAGCAAAAACCTGTCCAAGGGCGTTTTTGATTGCTTTCAGTTTAAGTGGCAGATATTGATACTACAAATAAATAAAAATAAACCAAAATTATTTCCAATCTTTTGCAAATAAGATGAGATAAATATATCGCTGACTCTAAACTGCAACTTCATATTTTATTAACTTTCTAAAGTGTTAAATTAAGTGGAAAAGACAAGTCAAAAACGCTTATAATAGCTGGATCTATCTATCTGGCAACACGGAGGCTGCGCCGCGCCCTCACTCACAAGTCTCTCAAGCCTCGTTCACTCCGTCAGCGTCTCGCAGCGATCATTTTCATACCAGGCCAGGGACGCTACACATTCTTGCAAACTGTCTAAACTGAATTATACATGTCATGCAGGCATTCATATGCGGAGTTTAACAGCAAATTAGTCATTCAAAGAACACATTTTATTTTTGAACATGAAAAATTTACTGAGGTCCGTACCTCGGTGGCCTCATAGCTGGTTACGGGCCTGCCTAGAAACCACCTAGCAAACTGTCTTGCAATTAAGCCACCTTAGTAACGTCTCTCTATAGTATAGTATCTATTTATCTATGAAATCTTAAATTCTGTATAAATGCTTAATGCTCAAGGTTTTTACAAACTTCTTGAAATTTCAGGCAACACAACAACATCAAAGTCCTTTCTTAGTTTTGCTTACTGTATTTGAACTACATTTGTACTAGGCTATATTTTACTGTAGACAATGTGAGAAAGATTAAAAGCCTTGATATTACCTAATTCTTTTTGCTCCAGCAGGATCAAGAAAACTTCGACCAACCTCAGCACAAAGAAATCCCTCTAATGGAGTTTTCACCAGACTGTAAGTCAGAATTTTTAACCTTTTAGACTTTTAAGAGTTCATCTTATGTTTAGCCACAGGAACTATTTGGATACTTAAGTCCAAGTAGTTTAAAATATATCAATATCTTGTCATTATACAGCAAAATATAAGAAATATACCCCAGTCTTCAGTGTCACATGATCCTTCAGAAATCATTCTAATATGCTGATTTGCTGCTCAAGCAACATTTCTTATTATTATCAATGTTGAAAACAGTTGTGCTGCTTCATATTTTGTAGAAACTGTGACGCATCTTTTTTCAGGATTCTTTGATGAATAGAACATTCAAAAGAACAGCATTTATTTACATTTTTTAGCCTGACTTTTCTGTCTACTTGTTCACAGGGAAAGACTCAGACATGGTGGAGAAACTCCAGTGGAAAACAGTGCGTGAGGTTTTTATCAAAGGACAGGAACAGCTGTTGGTGAACGAGTTTGGCCAATATTTCCTGTACCTGCAGGTTACCCTCGCCTCTCATGAGAAAGCAAACCATACAATCACTTTGGAATCAAAACAAAGACATGTGATTTTAAAAGGTCTTATCAATGGATCAAAACTCTCAACTGTCTTCATGGCTAAAGGCATTTCCCTCGCTAGCGGAGATACTCTAACTGTGACCTGCCAGCCGAGAGCCAAAATCCAGATCTCTCACACTGAAACCTACCTGGGTGTGATCAAGATTAAGTCAACCTGAATCTAGATCAAAGACTGAAATGGATTTGTGACAGTATTGAATGTGGACTCCCTCCGCATTGATCTGCTGGGTTTTGATGTACACACTGAAGGCAGTGTACGACATGTTAGCTTTTTTTATTTATTTCTTAAAGTGACATCTCCAAAACTCTCTGCCTTTATTGCACTAGCCTATATTTAAGCTTCTCCCCACTCAATGGATGAAGTGTCACTGAATGTCCATGTGTGGCCGAATTCTGATTGTTACCAATGTAAAATTGGCACCCTATTGATGCACTTTATATACATGTATGTATATATATTTGTGTGAAACTGGCCCTTTGCTGAAGCCCTGAACTGCTCCAAATGTTTCTTCAACTCACTCACTTTGGTATTGTGAATACCTTAGTCCACACTACAACACCTGAGTCAACAGAAAATTAAATGAGATTAAGTTAGTAACATTCATTTAGCAGGTCTCCTTACGGATGCTAAACATGTTTATAATTATAATCAACACACCATTTCTGCAGAATGAACATGTCGAGATTTATTTAAAGAGAAAGGGCAACAAACACTGCTTGTTTTCTCTTTTGGTATCTTGTGTCACTATTTGAAGCTCCTCAACAGCAATATATCTGGATAATTTCTGCAATTCCTTGAAACTAGCCAAACACACAAAACGACCACAGAAATAGAAAATAGCAAGAGCTGTTCTCAAATGGCAGATCTTTGCTAGTTGCAGCAAAGGTGGGGACTTAGGAAAGGGCCAAGTGCGCACAAAGGAAAGTATCAGAATACCTCCCTTCAACAAAGCAAAAAACTAAGGCTGAATTCAGAATGGCAGACTTGCATACTACAAGTATTACAGGTGATGGTTCAACCAAAAATGAAAATGCTGTCATCATTTACTCACCCTCAAGTTGTTCCAAACCTGAATGAGTTTGTATCTTGTTGAACATAAAAGATATTTTGAAGAATGTGGGTTGCTGGTCCCCATTGACTACCACAGTGTTTTATTCCATACTATGGAAGTCAATGGGGACCAAAAATTGTTTGGTTACCCACATTCCTTAAAAATATCTTCTTTTGTGTTCAACAGAAGAAATAAACTCATACAGGTTTCGAACAACCTCGATGACAGAATGTCCATATTTGGATGAACTAATATGGCAGAGAGTAGTATGCTACTATACACTCTTAAAAATAAAGGTGCTTCACAATGCCATAGAAGAACCATTTTTGTCTAAATGGTTCCATAAAAAACCTTTAACATCTGAAGAACCAAGGTTCTTTGTGGCGAAAGAAGGTTCTTCAGATTATAAAAAGTTAAGAAAGAGATGGTTCTTTAAAGAAGCTTTGACTGAATGGTTCTTTGTGGAGCCAAAAATGGTTCTTCTGTGGCATCGCTGTGAAGAACCTTTTAAGCACCTTTATTTGTGTGTATGCTATTTCCAAGTTTTCGCCAACAAGGATGTCATTGGTCAGGTGGTATATTAAGAGTGGCAAGCCACTGAAAGTGTATATACAATGTGTATGTGTGTGTTTTATTGTTTGTTTGTTTTTTTATTTCTTATTTTTGTCATATTTATCTGTATTTATGGCTGCTGATTATACAGCGGCAGCAAAATGTTTTTAGCGTACTTAAAAGTCTATGAAAGTCATTGGATTCAATTAGAGAACAAATATCAAACCAAGTGGCATTTCTTTAAACAAAAGACCTGTTCAAACAAAACATTTCACAAAAAATCGCTTTGCTAATTCTAAAACAATAGTATACTCTTTTAGGACAGGCATATAATTTATAATGAAGACTATGAGAATGAAGAAAAAAGTGCTACTTTATGACAGTCAAATGTAACTGGATCATGTTAATGTAATGAACAACACTTGTAGATACTCTGACACATTTGCGTGAAAAGCTGACTTCATACACCCACTAAAACTATCTTGACACCAGCTGGTTAAAAGTCAATTCACAAATTGCTCAGAAAAGTGAAAGTAATTCTGAGAAAATCTCTAGCTTCCTTTGTATGCAGATGCCACTGGTTTGAAAGGTTAATTCATGTAGAGGGTTAAAGACTGTAGAGGGTTAATGATCTGGTTATAACAGCAACACAATTTCAATTACAAAATTATTACACCATATGATGCCTATGAGGTCATTAGTTGGACATTGTGGACAATCGTGAATAATTAGAAATGTCATGAACATTATTAAAAGTATATATATATATATATATATTTTAAGATATATATCTTCTCCACAGACCTCTATCTGGAAACTAATGACATTGTAAAGACCCAAGTCACTTTTTGGACTCACTAAATATGGCTGAATTGATGTGTTGTTATATTATTGTCCTAAGATCTCCTTTCAAATAAAGTTACTCATTTTTTGCAGGTCTGACTGTATATTATAGATATATCTGACAAAAAAAGCTTATACAGTGTAAGGCAATTGTTGGAATAAACAACTACATACTTTCTGCCAATGTCTTATTTCTTTATTTTATTTCAGGTTTATTTGACAGGGACAATGCACATCAACAATACATAAATGCACAATGTGCCAGAATTAGCCAGAAGGCTATTTTGCATCTGCAGTCCCTGGACTGATGGTAAAATTGTCACCCTAAAAATATAAAGAATTAATCAATACATAATACTTACATACTCTAAAATACATATACCATTCACACTATTCTTAAAAACAAAACATCCGCCTTAAAATTATACTATACACAAAACCAATCAATACCAGCTCACTCATACACACAATCCAACTGTCAAAATACAAAATAACAAACAATATATCAATAATATCACAATATCAATATACAAACAAAGATAATGTAAGCATACAGACAAGTAACAGCAGCCCTAATCATTCAATCAGACCTAAACCAAACAACCTCATATACATAACATAAAAATCTCAAACTAGCAGAGCAAAAAGGACAATTTACAAAATTAATGTTGACAATGCTGACTCTCAATTAACCATTTCTTTAAATGAAACTTAAAGGAAGCATAAGTATTGAAATTTGTAATGTAAGTTGGGATGGAGTTCCACTCACGAGCAGCCCTAACTGAAAACACTGTTTGACTAAATGCACTTTTTCTTAAAGGGACTACGCCATTCTCCACTCTTATGCAAAGCAAAAACGTATGCATTTGTTTGCTTTGTTTTAATTGTGATGACTCATTTATACTGGTGGTAGACTGGCTGATATGCTTACAAGAACGAGACAGACAATGATAAGACTTTCCGTCGAGGTGGGAGTGAGGGGGCAGAAACACAATTTCACAGCAGTGACTCATTTCCATAAATCCATCAGCAAACATCTTTAGTTAGCTGTGGGTTTCAGCATTGACATTTGTTCAATGATCAAGTTTGTATCTCATTTAATCGTAACCTGGCACTAAACTGAACCATATTTGATTACCTCTGAGTCTTGTGTTATGGTCCTGGCATGCATCTCCTAGACCTCGAAACCATAGTGTCATCATTATGTGTTACTGTGACATCATGTTTTGATGACTCAATAGCGGGACCCTCTTTCTGAAAAGAAAGTGAAAGGGTGCGTCAACCATAACGTCACTCAGCACATCTCATCTGCTGCTTTCGAGGAGCCCCTT